GATGTGCCTGAGGGGATGAGAAAGGCTGGGTGCGGGTGCTGTGCTGGGAGCAGGGTGTCCTTGGCCCGCAGGGGCAGGTTGGGCCCTGGGGACCCAAGGGTGGGGATGGGAAGCTGGGATCGATGCCTCGCTGATGGCATCGTCCCTCACAGCCGGAGTGGCGGGAGCCAGGCTGGGGCAGGGCCTCCCCCGCCCGGTGACGGGGACCCCTCTTGTGTTCTCCTTGCCTTTTCCCCTCACCCCTTTCCCCTTCCCTTTCCCCTTCACTTCCCTTTTCTCCCTTTCCCCTTTCCCTTCCCTTTCCCCTTCACTTCCCTTTTCTCCCTTTCCCCTTTCCCTTCCCCTTCCCTTTCCCTTTCCCTTTCCCTTTCCCTTTCCCTTCCCTTTCTCCTTTCCCTTTCCCTTCCCTTTCCCCTTCCCCCTCCCTCACCTTTCTCGCCCATCTTCCCTCACGACCGGATCCCCTTTTCCCTCACACCCCCCCTCGCGTGCGCCCCCTTGTGCCCCCATTGTGTAACCCCCGATCCCGACCCCGGCGGGGGGGCGAATCCATCTCCTCTCCCCCGGCCGGAGCCGGGTCCCAGCCGCATCCCGGGTCCCGGGTCCCGCCTGCACCGAGGTGCCCCCCCCCGCCCCAGCACCTTCTGCTGCTCTTGAACCGGGGCCAGCGGTCGCGTTTCTCTGCCAGCCCATGTAAAGGGAAGAGCAGCGAGGGATGGGGAGGAGGAGGAGGAGGAGGGCTGGGGAACCCTCACCGCTCGCTTCCCCTCGGCTGCTCATTTCAACCTCCTTTCAAGCAGAAATTGCTCACATTAATCAAGTGAGAATGTGTTTGCAGCCCTGCAGATTTGGCAGCGCGGAATCAAATTCCATCAGGAGCAGCAGGAGGACGGGAGCCGGTATCTCTGCTGCGCACGGCCTAATAGAGCCATTGCCAGAGGAAATTGGATCTGAGAGCTCCCCGAAATTAATCTACCCTTTACAGAGATGCCAGGAGATGTACATGACAAATGAGCGTTTGCAAAGGAAACCCAGCGCATTGGAGCAGGGTGGAGCTGCCCCTCGGCCAGCATCTGCATGGGCAGAGGCACACGAGCAGTGTGGAGGAGACCCAGAGTCGGGTTATAGGAGCTGCTGGGACAGGGGAGAGGGGCAAAGCTACCAGTGCTGCAATAAACACATCTCCTCTGCTCCTCCCAGCAGTGCCAGAGCTCGGATCCTGCATCCCATGCCAGCACGTGTGCCATGGGGCCCTGAGGAGCATCTTCAGCAGCATTCCAGACTATATCAGCAATAGTCACAGCAGGGCCAGGGCAGGGATTGTCCCTTGTACCAGGCACTGGTGGGGCTGAACCTGGGGGGTTCAGTCTGGAGACGAGAAGGCTCAGTGGGGACCTGATGGCTCCCGACAACTGCCTGAGAGGAGGATGGAGCCAGGAGGGGCTGGGCTCTGCTCCCAAGGAACAAGGGATGGGACAAGAGGAAAGGGCCTCAAGCTGCACCAGGGCAGGTTTAGATGGAGCTGAGGAACAATTCCTGCCCCAGAGGGTGCTCAGGCATTGGAAGAGGCTGCCCATGGCAGGGCTGCAGGCACCGTCCCTGCAAGTGCTCACACAGCGTGGAGACAAGGCCTCAGTGCCATGGGTCAGTGGTGGCCTTGGCAGTGCTGGGGTTAGGGTTGGACTTGATCTTAAAGGGCTTTTCCAACCTGGCTGATTTTATGTTCCTATATCAGAAGCCCAGCGAAGCAGAGCCAGGGCTGGCAGGAGCATGGGGCAGCCCCATGTGCATCCATGCTGGCTCTCTCCATGTTGTGCCATGGTGGAGGGAGCAGGCAGGGGTTGTAGCTCACCCAGCAGAGCCGGGGCTCAGGTGCCTCCTCTCGCCCCGCGCTGATGGAGCCGCTGCTGCTCCGAGGTGATTGCTGCTTTATTGGCTTATTTTTAGCCAGGCTCAGAGCAAGATGGATGGGGCTTGTCTTGGAGAGCCTTGTGCTGGCAGCAGGAGCCCGGGCACGGCGCAGCAGTGATTGCTTTGGAAGCTGCCTTGGAAACAGATGGGGTGAAGCTCCCTGGAGCTCGCTCCTGCCCTGGGACCAGTCCGTAGGGTGGGCATGGACCATACGAGGTCCCTGCTGTTGGGCAGTTACCTCCAATGGTGTCCCCCCAGCCCGGTTTGCTTGCAGCATCCCCCAGTGAAAACCCAAAGACCTGTGGGACCAGGTTGTGTCTGCCCTGAGGGTCTCCCATCAGCCCAGGGGTCTGTCTTCATGCTGGTGCTTCTCAGGAGCAATCCAGCAGCACCCCAGGACTGAATCTTGACCTTCATTTCCCAGCTTTGTTAGCTCCATGGCCCTGTACATGTGGATTGAGCAGGGCTGGGCAGAGACAAGGAGCATCAGGGAAAAACAGTACTGGATGCATTGGGCACAAGGCGCTGGGTACCAGACTGGTCCAGGCTGCACTGAAGAGCAGAGCGATGTCCATAGCACAGCCCTTCCCTTCCCTTCCCTTTGCTCCAGAATATCCCTGTGGAGGGAAGCGCCTTGCTGTGCGCATGAGCTCAGGGTCACTGCGCGTGAGTCAGGTTTGCAGTGCAAGTGGGGTTGTGCGATTGCAATGGGGTAAATGGGGCTTGGTGGGGAGTTTTGCTCCCCAGATCAATGCACTTCTGTGGGGTGTTGTTGCAGTGCCCAGGAATGGTGTGTGGCACCCGGTGCCCTGCTGCTCCTGTGCTGGGAGCCGCAGCCAGCAATGCCGCAGGGAATATTGATTAGTTTTACAGTGTAACCTGACAGAGCCTATTCTGGGGATGTAATGAAGACGGATGATCCCATCCCCTCGCCCTGGTGCTTTGGGGAGGGGGAAAATCATTCGCTGCATCCTAGAAGGATGCTTCGTGGTCCATCACGCCTCGCTCTTGGACTTCATCTTATTTCCACTTCTCTGGCTGGTTTTTAATTCTTTCCATCTTCATGGCTCTCTGCCTTCCCTCGTCCCAGCACCCTGTGTCTCACCCCACCACATGGGCCTGGTGCTCGGGCTGGGAGGCAGCCGAGCCTGGTCCAGACCATGAGGGGTGCAGACTGCAGCGCTGGGATGAACGGGGAGAGGACTTGTTGCAGGCTCAGTGGAAAGCTCTCCCCACAGCCAGAGCCGTGATCCAGCCTTACCACAGCTCACCTCTCCCTCCTCCTCTGCTGTTCTTCCCTGTCTCTCTTTCTTCACCCCCTGCCCATCTGCATCTGCAGCCCCAGGCATCCCGGCTGCAGCCCCGCTTACTGCGAACACATCCCACCTCCAGCATGGGGAGACTTCCACTGAGAAACCTGTGTTGAGCCAAAAGGCTCGTCCCAGGACCCCTTAAACGCCAACCAAGGGCAGCTCTGTGACGAGCTCCTTCCGCAGCCTGATCTGAGCCTTTCGGAAGCCACAGGCAGTGCGTTTCCCTCCACTGCCCAGCAGTTGTGAATCCATATTTACCATAAACCTAAGCTCCATGCAGGAGGCAGTTAAGCACAGTCATAAAAATGACTTACGATTGGTCAGGATTTTCGAAGAAGGAAGCCCATATATTACCAGGTCTTTATTTCTCTTCTGGTTGTTACCCTTTAGGATTCCTGTTTTCAGGCTTTTCCCAACAAACAGTTGGAAATGTCAAGGAGGTTTTATAGAAGAGCTGAGAATCCTCCAGAATCACAGGGCTGCAGGAAGGAAAAACTAATCCCAACTGCTGGATGCACGAGGTGGGATCTCCAGATGCTGCTGGCACCCTCTGTACAGTGCCCATCTCTACTACACCTTCAGATGATGACCTGAAGAGCCTCACTGCTGCCTTCCATCACATCCAAACCCTGACGCTCAGAAGGGATCCTCTGCTCCGACATGATGCAGGTGTGATGCTCAGCAGCTCCAGCCCAGGGAGATGCCCCACACTGGATTAAAGATTTCCAGGGATAATGGCAGCCCCTGGTTTAAACCTTTGAGCCCGTTAAGGCTGTTTTGGGCTGGGAACTTTGGCATTCCCATTGATGCTCCGTGCCTCCAGCCAAGTCCTTATAAAACCAAGGGGAAAATAATCCTGCAGCAAACACACGGTGCTTTTCCCAGCCTCATGGATACTCACAGCAGAGCAAATGCTCTTTTTCTCAGCGAAGGGAACTAATTCCATGAGTAGTGGAGCTCCGCTGCGAGCAGAGGGCTGGCTGCTGTGATAGGGAGGAGAGGAAACCACAGTGCCCTGTCATTTTGAAGGAAATACATCTAAAAATAGGGCACCACAGGTACCTGCCTGGCTGTCGCTGCCTGCAAACACACTGTGAACACAAGGATGGACCGTTGTGTGCTCTGCACTCCTTCCACCACCACTTCGTCAGCCTGCTTTAGGGTGACTTTGGTGGGAAGGGCTTTGCAGGGACAATGGGGGTGAGGAGCTCATCCTCTCCTTCCACAGCCGCCTTTTCCTCCTGCTCCCAGCTCGTGGCTTCAGCTTAGCATCTGGGCAAGTTGCGCACCAGGGGCAGAGCGAACCTCGGTGCTTATGGCAGGCCAGGCTGACAGCTCCTGCGAGCTCGACGCCGCGAGCATCGTTTCTCGCTGATCGCAGAGGGAAGGAATGGAAGCAAATCTTTCATGACACATTTATTTTTGTCATCTATTTATTAGCTGAGAGCAAAAGTCCTGCTGCATTCTGGGGATTATGCAAATCAGGGACATCAAGGCAATTAAAAGAAAGCCCAAGTGAGCACAATGTCAGAGCCGAGCAGATGCTGAGAGACAGCACAGCCCTCCCTGGCCGCTCCTGCCCTGACGCAGCCCCCAGCGTTGCATCCGGGTGCTCCTGCTTCTCCTCCAGCTTGTGTGGTCAACCCCCCAAGCAGGTCATTAGGCCCATGGGCCCCACACATCTCCCAGCCTGCTGCTTTGCTGTGGGGCTGCGTCTGCTGCCCCTTCCCTCTTTGGGAGAAGGATGCATGGGATGTCTGCTGCTGTTTCTCCCTGTCTGGGAGAAGGATGCGCAGGATGCCTGCTGCATCCCCATTCTCATCACAGGCGCTCGCTGTGCTCACCTGGACCGATGCGGCCAAATCAATGCTTAGGCTAATCCCAGGCAGAATTTGGGTTGCTGGGATTGCTGAGGGGGTATCCACAGGGCAGAGATGAAGAGGGTCCTTGCCCCCTCTATGGGACCCGCCAGGGAGAGCATCCCAACAGAGCGCGGGGTGAGGTAATGCCATGCTCATGTTGGGTCAGGCACTGCCGCGGGAGGAGGATCTGGCTCGCTCCACGGGTCTGAAGCTTGGCTAAATCCCCACTGAATCACCCGTTGTTCCACTGACAGCTCGGGATTTATGAGAGCTGAAGTGGATGGATGGCAATGAGCAAGTGAAAAAGCCAAGTCCCAGATCCGACTTGTCTTCCCCTCGGCAGCTCCGGAAGACTCAGGATGTGTGTTTTGGGATTTAATCCTGTCTGAACCCCTCTATTTTGAGACGGAGGTGGAGGGGGAGCTTCAGGCAGCTGGAGTGCGTGTTGGTAGCTGCATCCAAGGACAGCTCCTGCCCCGGCAGCTCCTGGAAGTGGAAAAACGCCGTTTCCCAAAAGCCTGTGGAAGAGCACAGGGAGGCTGGCGCTCGGAGACATGGAAAGATGCGGGGAGCAGCCAGAGAAACACGCTCCTATCCTCACTCTGCTAATTACACTCATTAGGGAAGGAATGCTGCCTCCGATTGAGAGCCCTACCAGCTCCTTTTCATCCCCCTGCCTGCCGAAAGCACGCACCGGAGCGCTCGGGAGTTGGGCTCTCTCCTGGAAATGGGCATTTCTCCTCCCAGGTCAGAGGCTCTTTTGTGTCTGCCTGGCTGGGAGACGGGCTGAAGACAAAGCAGGAAGGGAGAAAGCGGGAGAGAGGCGGGATGGGGCGAGCCGGCATCCCCGCGCCGGGGGGACCGGGTGCCTCGGCGGTGGGCTGCGCCGGGAACGGGAAGCGGAGCAGCGGGAATGCAGCCGTGTGCGCGGCTCAATGGGGAAGTAATTTATGCACTAACCTCAGCCCGGGGTTGCGGGGAGGCCTCTTCCCATCGCCCCTTCTACCCGCCTCCTCCCGCCCTGCAGCCACACACAGCCTCGCGGCCCCCTCCGCAATTGGGAAGACACCTATCGAGCACCGCTCTGGCACTGCTGGGCTTTTGTTCCTCCTCCTGCCGTGCTGCCCGAGCTGCTCCTGCCCTCCGCGCCGGCTGCCTTAAGTTGCTTGCCATGATCCCCAGCCGAGAATCGCCGTCCCGCTGACGTCCCGCGGCGGAGGCGGCGGGAGGAGAGACGGAGGAGAGCAAAAGGAGGAGGAAAGCGAAGTAAGGCAGCGTTTGTCTCCTTTCTTTGTCTCAAGTCTTGCCTGAGTTGTGTGCGCATGGGGGGAGCGGGGCACTCAGGAGGAGCGTGTGCACGCTCCGTGTGCGATGGGCATCTCATGAGCACATGTGAACCACACGCAGCCACCGTGTGTTACCTGCGCTGCTCCCCGCCCCAGGCAATGCCTATGGGCACCCCAAAGCAAGTCAGGTCCTTCCTCTGCTCATTGTGTGCGCTGAGAGTGTTCTGTGTGTGGATGTATGTACATTAACAGCTGCTCACGCGGTGCTGTAGCTAATGTGTGGCATTCACTTGCATATATTCTTGTTAGATGAAGTTATGTTCTTGTGGGTATAAATGTAATCAGCTGAAACAAATTGAATCCTCTTTGGTTTAGGGGAGAATAATCACCAACCGGTCAAAATCCATCACTATATGAACGTTTGTGGGGATGTGTGTATATATGTGTTTATACACATGTGTCTATATGTGTATATATGTGTTTATACACGTGTCTATATGTGTATATATGTGTATATGTGTGTATATATGTGTATATGTGTATATATGTGTGCATATGTGTGTATATACGTGTGCATATATGTATATACACATATTCACGTGTAATCATGTTACTTATGCTGACACACAGTTACATGCAACACATGTTAATGTACTCACCAGCTAAATTACACGTGAGCTCTTTAAGTGCTGGATTTCAGGATGAAGCGTGCACTTGTATGAGTGGTCCTGTACATGAATACATGCTCATGTGCATATGCTAAGTTTTTGTCTAAGTACCACACACAAGAAGTGGGGGTGTTCTGTAGGACTGGGGGGGTTGGGGTGTTGTGTGTGTGTGTGTGCAAACACTTTTGCATTGATGGCAATAGATACAAAGCCCTTGCACCAGCCCCGATTGCAGAGAAGGAGGAACTCTGCCTGGTGCAGAGCGTGCTTTGCTTTGCGATGAGTGGGAACTGAAGGGCAAAGAACAGATTTGTTGGTGCCTGTGCCTTGCTGAGAACCACTGAATCCTGCAGGAGAACAGCACGAGGGGCTGGTGTGGTCGGGATTGCTGGAGCTGCATCTGAGCAGTCCTTCCTCCGGCTGCAAACTTGCAGCTCCGGCACCAGTGCTGGTATTTGGCACACAGAGGGAGGCTCTCCGGGTGCTCTCCGATGAGGTAATCCCAAGGAAAGATAAGGGAAGTGCTGCATGTATTAACCTGAGCGGTGATGTCAGCGAGGGGAGAGGAAATGAATGACTTGGAGATAGGAATTGCCTTGGTATGGGTGTCATTTGGTTGCTGCCGTTATCTCGGATGTGCCGGGGTGGTGAAACCAAAGGGACCTGAGGGCTGGGGGGGTCTGGGGACACCAAACAGTTCCTGTGGGCTTGTGCAGAGATTTGGGTGCTCTGCGTGTGTGCCCATGAGCCTGGGTGCACCCCTGGGTCTGCGCTGTGGTAGCCTGTGACTATTAGAGAATAAGGGACCCAAGGGATGTCCCCTCCTGCTTTGTGTCTGTGCATCCCCAGGGAGCGGTGGGATGCAGCAGCAGGGTCGGGTGGGACCAGGGCTAGGACGGCTCCAGGCAGAGAGAACAGGCTCAGGTATGGGCTTGGGGCCACCTTCACACTGTGCTTATGGGTCTCCCCATGGGGTTTGTTTTCTCTCCTCCCTTGGGAAGGAGCAATGGGACCCAGGTGCCCTGCCCAGCATGGGGAGCGATGGAGGGAAGGTCTCCAAAGTGCAACAGAGACACTCTCCACCAGAATCTCGCCTCATGCTAATGGGTATCACATTGTGTCCCTGACGACTTGTCAGCAGCATGTGAGAAATCACTGGCAGCAGCGAACAGCAGGGCCAGCAGGAGACGGAACACAAATACCTCACATCACAAATGCCTCCCCTGACACAGAGGATGCACCCACGATGCTCCCCAAACCTCCCCACTCAGCCCATACAAACCTGTTGGTCCCCTCTCCAGGGTTAACCTGTGCTGTGTCTTATCCCAGCCCCACATCTCCTCCGCTCGGTGCTGCTGTCCCTGCACGCTGCCTGTTGCACTGAGCTGCTGATGACAGCAGAGGACAAGGAGCACCCATGAGCTGGGTGAGACTGAGCTGGGCTTGCAGGAGATGGTCCCTCCGGGGCTGCCAGCTCAACACAACCACACAGAGACCCTGCAGAGCCCGAGGCAAGAGCCAGCTTCACCTCTTGGTGCCTTGACTTGGTTCACCCACCCCTGGGAGGGTTTGGTGGAAGCTCGCATGAGGCTTCACCGCAGCACAGCCTGGATGGAGCTCCTGCCAGGAGCGCTCTATTGCATGCGCAGGTTGGTGAGGGCAGGGGCAGTGGTGTTTGTAAAGGCGGCTGCAGTTTCTCTTGTTTGCGCCAGTGTAAATCCAGTGAGGAAAAGGAGACTCCATGGATATGGGTGCTTAAACCCCCTTCAAACCCGCTGTGAAGCTCTGGTGTGAATTCCAGTCTCTGCTCCTGTCCCAGGAGGGAGCTGGGGCTGGGGCTTTAGAGGTGCTGTTTGAGCTTGTGCCTGGGATGGTGAAGGCATGTGCAAAGGGGGTTTGGGGTCTGGTTAAGTGGATTCAGCCCTGATTTGCGATGGTGGGAGATGGGTTGAGCTCTTTCCTTCCCAAGGCTGTGCCCAGAGTGATGTCCCTCCAGGCACTGGAGTCACCGGAGGCAGGTTTCAGGGAAGTGTCTCCCCAGGGGAGCTGAAGGTGCAGGGGTGATGCTCATCCTGCCCCCTCCAGCGTTCCTGCAGCCCCTTCAGGCACTGGAGCTGCTCTCAGGTCTCCCCTTCAGGAGCCTTCTCTTCTCCAGGCTGCCCCAGCCCAGCTCTCTCAGCCTGGCTCCGGGGCAGAGCTGCTCCAGCCCTCGCAGCAGCTCCATGCCCTCCTCTTGACTCGCTCCAACAGCTCCAGGTCCCTCCGGTGCTGCTGCCCCAGAGCTGGGTGCAGGGCTCCTCCTCTTCCCTCTCCCGGACAAATCGGGTTTATGCTGTGTCCTGAAGGAGCGTGCGGTGGCACCTGCGGAACCGGGGCTATTTTGGCCTTTTCCTTTGCTGTGGCTGCCAGAGCACCCCATGGAGGGAGCCTGGGGTCTGTCTGGTCTCCGCTCCATGCACTGCAGCAGCGCCGGCGGCAGCGGCTGTGCGCAGGCTGTGACTGCTGCTGCAGGCAGGGCTTGTTGGGCACATCTCCGGCTTGTCTTGGACAGGGTGCTGCAGGCAGTGTGGTCTCATCCTCAGGCGCGGCAGGGATGCAGAGCCGTGTGGCTTTCCCAGGCTCAGCGCTAAGGATGCGCTGTGTGATCCCGGATGTTGTTCAGCTCACCTGCCCTCCCTCGTGTTGCCTGTAAGGGGGTTTATAGAGCATCCTGCAAAGGTTTGGGTTATATCCATCCGTTACAATAACGAGATATACGGTGATGAGAAAGCTAGTTAAAATCCATAAAGAACCCCAGTATCACCCTATCCATGGGACATACAAGAGACAGACAACGTGCACCTTCAGCTGTACAGAGCACTGCAACCAGAGCTGCTTTGGAGCCTCCTCTTCCCCATGTAAATATTTCTATAAAGCCAAAAAGTCCACCCATAATGGCTTGGAGGACAAGGTAATGCCTGCTGAAGGCTGGGAAACGACATTGTTACAATGACAAATACTCTCCAAATACCCAATTCATGATCCTGGGCGCCTTATAAATGTGATTAGTAGATCTAATCTTGCTGTGCTGGAGCCAGTTGTCAAGACAGCTTGAAAATGGATCATTGCCCAACTCTGACTTCAACTGCTCCCCAAGTTCTAACAGAATGTTTGAGAGCGAAGCGAGAGTTGGGTCCTGCACTCCCTGCCCTGGGGCATGAGCTGGAGAGGGGATGGGGAGGGGGGACTGCAGGTGATCCCCTAAAAGAAAGGCTGATAGGGATGCAACTGCTATGGATTTCTGTGGAAAACAATATCCTTTAGGTGTGCCCAGCTCGGTCGGTCTCTGTTCTTGAGTATCCGTCCATCTGTCCGTCCATCTGTCCACCCACCCTTCCCACTCATAAGGTACGTGTTATTTCTCTCCACCTTGCAGCGGGGATGGAGGCAGCCCTGGAGAGGCTTTTCCCACTCCTGAGACATGGGCAGGGAGCTGGGGAAGGAAGGGATGAGCCCTGGGAAAGGTGAAGCAGTGCTCAGAGCCATTGGCTTCCTTTGGTGCTGTGATTTTGGGTGCTTTCACTTTGGGTACCGTCATGCAGGTACCCCCAGAGGCGATGCCCTCTCCTGCCTCTCCGGTGCTGCTGGGAGCTGCTGGGAGCAGGGTTCCTGCAAGCCGGAGAATGAGATTTCCAAAGGCACTCAAGTGCTTTTGGGTACCTGGGGTGGTTGCACCAGGCTGTCTGAGCATCCCGGTGCCCCCAGGACTGGTAAGACCAAGGTCTGCTATTGGTGCCTTTACTTGGGATTCTCC